CTCTTTAATTTTACCCTTCAATTACACAACCGCCCCTTGGACCCGTTCAACTGTGGGGGCTGGTCCCCAAACCCAGGGCTCCTTGAATACAGACCAGGCAGACATGGTGGTGTCGTGGCGACAAGTTGGCCTTCGATCTGCGGGGGAGGGGGAGGGGGGGCAGCAGCAGACCAGCAGCTCCACAGGAAAGACGGGGCTCTCTACGCCTATCCATAGTTCATAGTTGGGACACTCACGGGGGTCCCTAGGAGGCAGCGTGGTCTTGATGGCAGAGTTTGGTTTGGTTTGAAAAGGAACTGCTCTCAGAGCCCTGGTGGTGTCGTGGCTACCTGTTGGGACACTAACCACAAAGTCAGCAGTTCGAATCCAACAGCCTCTTCTTGGGAGAAGATTGTATACCCACCGGGGTAGTTCTACCCTGTCCTGTAGGGTTGTGTTGCTATGAGTCAGAATTGACTCGGTGGCTGTGAGTTTGGTTTTTGGAGCATAACTTCCCACCCCCGTGTCTTTCAGTGGGAGTTCCAGACAGCAGGCTCTTTGGCCAGGGCACGGGGGTGGGCGTTTCCCCCACCTAAAGGCTCAGCATTACTCACATGAGTTCCATTTCAAGGAAAGGCCATAGCAGAAGTCGGCTCAACTGATCCTGCTAGGGTCTGATGTAGGCAGGCCCAGGGCCCCAGGACTATCACTGTCCCCAAAACAGGGGAGTACCAGCCCGCCCACCATTTCATCTGCTCAGTTTTAGAGGATTAGAGGTTCCCATGGGGCACGGAAAGTGGTTTCTATCCACTCTGAACATCAGAGGCTTCTGCTGGGGTGGGAGGACCCACCTCCTAGCTGGAGCCTCCCGGAATGGCCAAGCCCTGGCTGGGGTGGCTGAAAGCTGGGCCTGGGGCTGGTGCCTATTCAGCACAAGGCCTATAGGGTGGCCCTCCTTTGGTGGCAGGGTCCCAGCAAGCCTTGTATGACCCCAGAGCCTCACTTCCATGGAAATCTAGCCACCAAAACCGTAACAGGTGTGCCTATCCTTCAGAGAGGGAACATGGACCCCACCTCTGCTGTTGGCTGTTGTCTTGTAAACCTGGGCATGCCTAGGCACAGCTTGTGTGCCAATATGGGTAAGGTGTCACCCACATTTTACCTCCAAACTGAAGAACAAAGGATTGCTAAGGAGAGAGCCCCTGAGCCAA